TTGTGGAGATGTGCGAATAATACATTTCACCAAGAGAGAGAGAGAGAGAGAGGGAAAGGGTTTGGCACGGCTTCTGGGGAAAACAAGAGGGGAAAGACAAACATTCCAAGCATGCATTTCCCCCCTCCCTCCCTTTTTCACAGTTCAGGAAGAGAAGCGAGCGGACCCAAAAGAAAAGGAACGTGACATCGGAGCGCTTTTATTTGTTTTCCAAAGTGCATAAATACGGACGTGATGTTTCCTCATCATTTGTTTGTTTTTGTTGTTGTTTGTTTTTGTGTGTGTGGAGCAAATCAAGCATGGAACTTTTGTTTCTTTATTACTGCCCCTGAGCCACTGGGCTGCCGCATGTCATTTTTTGCAGTTGTGAGTGTTTGCCTTCTTCCTTTCTCGTTTCTCAGATTCCTCACAGTGTTGGACTTCCATTGCACTGGAAAGGGAAGGAAGCAGAAAAAAAAAAAAAAAAACCGCCGTGTCCGGGTTGCCAGTCGCTATTCAATTCCCATTCGGGCCAAAAGCTCCTTTCCTTTTTTTTTTTTTCTGTTGTTTGTTTGTTTGGTACACTCATGGGGGAGGAATCGTTTACTTACGTCCTTTCTCCAGTCACCAGCACTCAAAACTTTGCCCATCGCGTTGCCGATGAAAATTTGCCATCGCTGGAAGAATCCATGGAATTCACGGAGAAAATGACTGGAACATTGCTGATTGACTACGACGGATTTATAGAGGATTTACTGCTGGGCTTCTGTCGAGTGCCGAATGGCGCGCATGATTCCAGAGTTGGTGTCGGACGAGGGGAATACGCTGCGCCTGCTGGTGCCATTTTGCCCACGACAATTAAAGCAGTCGGTTTGGATCCATCGAGTTCGGCGTCGTCTCTCTTTCAAGACGGCGCGTGGCCATTTGTATGGGCACAGTTTGAACGGGATGTAACCCGAGAAACCCTTATAATTGATGGAGCGCCTTGCAACGATGCTCTCATCGCACTACAGCGTATACAAAAACTGTTGGCTGACGCGTACGATGAACTGCCATCTCGTATTACAGCTGCCAAAACACACGGGCATGGGAAAGCAGATGAGTGCGGAGGATTGGCATCACGGTTTCTCAATACGGCTTGGGGTTTTCTTGGAAACGTTCAAGTTGCCTACAAAAAAATGGTGAGGAATAAAAAATTGGCTGAAGCTGCTCGGATTGCCATTCTCATAGCGCAGCAAACTGTGATGGCATTCCCAGTGGAGCTTTTACATGCGCAATTTAGCAGATCTTCACAGGGGAATTTCAAGGAGAAAGATGCTGCGGAATCGAAAATAGTTTACATTGGGGAGCGAATTGCGAGCAAAGAGAATGACGATGAAAAGAGCGATCCTCCACACAAGGAAGAAAGTCGAAGAATGATTGTGCGAGTGGAGCGCCGCAATCACGGAAGCCGTTTACCTTACGCACGTGTTGAAAAATTTATGCATGTTTTCACTCTGGACGAGTCGGCGAACGCTTCAATCAAGTTGGAGCTCTGCATAGTTATTGAAGTCAGTTTATTTACAAGTGACCAAGTCGAGTTGAACTGGGAGTGGCGCCGGCCTCCCCACACCTTCTCTGGAGATGCCGCCGCCGCCCCACCCCAGCCACCGGAAGAGGAAACGCAGAGGCTGAACAAAGGGGAATTTATACATGCATTTGCTGACTTTTAGGGCAAATTTAGGTGCAACGGGGGACCCTCGTATGTTTTTTTTTCTTTTTTTTTTTTGTTTAGGGGCTTGCGAAGGGAATAATCGCGAGGAGAGCCGGCTACCGCCATTGATATGCATCCATGCCGATGAAGCGGAATGGACACTTCATTACGACACTTTTCTACCGTATGGACTTTTTTTTTTTTTTGAAAAGAGCACGACTATTAAAAGGAGGGGTGGGGGACCAGGGGAACACCGATAGCGGCAATATAATTATTTTATTTGTTTTACCTTCACCCATCCTCCCCTTCTTTTGTGATTCCCACCACCACGCGGTGGGGTGTTGTGGCTGGTGGTGGACCCCAAAAGTCTGCCACTTCGTAAGGAATGAACGCCATATCTAACTATATTTATATGCACCCATCCGAATAGAGTGAGCGGGCCACAATTGAGGCCAACGGATGATACATGTATGTATGTATGTATGTACCTACTTGGTGGCAAACTTTGAGGGTATGGCGAATCCCCACTCCTATTCCGTCCATCCCTTTCTTATTCCTATCTCGTTTGTTTTCTGTTGTTGAGAAACTGCAGGATTCGGACAGCGGCCCAGAAGATTAAGACACAAAAATCAAAATATAGAACCGGAAAACTCCTAGGGTTAGCAAAAGGAGAAAACCAAAGAAAACCAACTATGCATGCATGGAGGCGCCCTCGCCCAGAAACGGAAAGGAGGGAAATTGTCCGCGGCGCCGACCCACATGGCATCGAACGGCGAAGCGCCCAATATTCGGGGCACTGCCTGACTACTACCTTCTTGGCGAGGTGGCGGCGCGATAGAAGGATCAGCCGGCAAGCGCCAAAACAAAATTCACACTTTACTTCTTCGCGGAACCGAAGAAGGGAACGCACGCGAATGGCGCAAGGAAAAGGGTGAACGGAGCGGGCGTTCTTCACGACGGCGCGAAAACGCCGCTTTGCTCCCATTCATTCGGCAAAACCTAAGGGATGAAGATGTGCCTTGGCCGCTGGACGGATCCTGAAATTATCCCAGCAAACCCGACGATATAGGAAGGAAAAGGAAGTCAAAGCAGGTGCGGGCAATCGCCTCAATAGTTTATTCCGATTTGTTTCTGTTCTTTCGATCGCTCTCTTGACGTTTTTTGCTCAAATAAGATTCAATATGTTCTTACCTACGAAGTGGCGGACTCTGGGGTCCTCCAGCCACAAGACCCCGCCGATCCCCTTCGCCAGTTCCTGAAGTGTAAAAGCGCAACCGCGTGATATGCCGTCCGCGGGGTTTTCTGCAGACCGTACGTAACCAAAGGATGCCTTTACTCCGCGAGAGTCCAAAAACTCATATATCCGTTGCAGCACCCACGTCATGGCGTGTGATTTCGAGCTGCCTTTATTCGCAGCTCCTCGCAGCGAAGTGTTGTCCACCCAAACGTCCATAGTGGATGGCAAGATGGCGGAAAAAGCCGATGAGGCTAGGCGTACTGCTCGTGCCTCGGCCTGCATGATAAGAAAAGGCTTCCTCTTCCCCCATTTCCCCCGGCAATTTTAACGTCGCCGGAGTCTGGAATAAAAACGGCTCTCCATCCATGGAGCGATGCGTCCGTGATGATGGCGGCCGATGCCTTTTCCGTGGAATTGATGATTCGCCTACGATTGTATTCTTGATGATGCGTCGTAGTCTCTCGCCCAAACCAACCGCTGCCGACGGAAGGTTTGCCGGGGATGTCTCCTGCACAATCCCTTGGTTAACTGCGGATAATCGTCGTCGCACTGCCTTGATAAAAAAGTAGTGGTCACATAAACGCGTGCACAAAATGGCAGCCGCGTACAAAAAACGTGACGCCGTAACCTCCATTTCCGCGATGGTTAAAGAATTGAGCGCCGGCATGGCGCATACAAACAGGACAAACGTGTCACTCAGGGATACCGCACGGTGTTGCCATGATCAAACCGCACTCCCAGGAAGGTGCACTGCATAGCGCCCGATTCGCGGTCCTCCCCCATGGATGCGTGACAACCGTCCGCATTACGAAGCACTTGGGCTTCCCACAGTGTCACATCGCTTCTCGACCCTGCAATGCGTATATTACCGACCCATACGTCGTCGCGCACCAACGGAGGTGCAGCCCAGAGGGGGCGAACCACCGTCGTCACCCCCGCAATTGCCGAAGTAATAATCTGGAAAATTTCTGGGCCGGCCTTGCATCCCACTGGCGGCCGTGTGAGATCCACCAGCGTGCCGTCCTCCACGCGGCATCGAAAGAGATGCCGAGTCTCCCGCGGCAAAGAAACACGAAAAAAGGACGCCTTTAAGTCCAGGCAGGAAGCGGCCTCAGCCATCACAGGTGGCAAATAATGGGAAATGTGTAAAAGAGGCGCATTCGCCTTGTAATGGTCGTCTCGGTTCTTGTCGCGTGGCCACGCGATCCATCGTCGTCGTAAGCCGGTGGTTTTCTCCTCCACAACCAAAAGGGTATTATCCATCCGCCTGTTATTGTGGACGAACCGTCCTCGATTATTCTTGCTTTTCGTAACAATCTCGCGTCAGCGACTGGAATCCTCCGTGAGCCTTCGCGCGCTCTACCGGAGGAAGATGGAAAGGGGACCGCCCGACGAGTCCCCAAACTTGCATGAGCCTCTCCAAGGTGGCCGGGTTCAACCGACTTTTAATCCACTCCAGGTTCAATACGGGCACGTTGACCTGCTGTAACGGGATGGTTCGTTCATCTTGTGGAGTGGCCAGACGCGCCCTCGTCGCGCGTCTCGTTATTGTTGCGGCATGATTGTGATAAAAATCACGGAAAAAACGCTCCTCCGCTCTCAGCCACGGTTCCTGCCCTTCCGCCGTTTCTCCCTTCACATCAATGCGACCAGCGACGACACCTGGGTCAGCATTGTGGTGTACATCCCCAAATATCGAACGGTATTCTGGGGAAGGTCGAACGGATCGACGTGCTTCGCCAACTGCGAGATCACGTGTGGATTCAAATTGAGTGTCTCCACGATTTGCGCAGCGTGCCTCAACGCACCGCGTTTTATGGAATGCGCCGTGGCATCCCAAGGAACCAAAGTTCGTTCGACTTGGGCATTCGTGATATTCGTGAGCTTTCCGTTGTTTTTTTGAAGTGTCCTGCATAGCTTTATAGTGTCGAAAGCGTCCTGCCCTCGTCTCCTGTCGGACAGCGGGGCGCGGTGGGGATCCGCCTCGCCGTCTTCGGCACGACGGACCAATCCAAAATTATGACCCCGTTCGGCTTCAGTTTAAGATTGTTGGGTGTCAAGGCCGCAATTCCGGACCAACGACTCGCTGTTATCCACGCGAGTCGTACGACAACACGTTCCTTCCAATCGGTCCGGCTGCGGATTACTTGATTCATCCCTTCCTTTGTCAAGGGGCGCGCTTGCTTCGTCTCCGATCGCGCCGCAATTTTTTTTTGTAACCCCAGAATCATCATGTCCAGCGGAGTTCGATCCATTTCCAACATGGACCGCAGCGTCCTGGCGTACTGCAGTCGGGTCGATGGCGCCACATCTAATATTGCCATCAAAAAGACCGCACAGCTCTCCTCGTTCATCGGCTGTTCGTGCGTGCGGCTAAAGGTTGTGAATTGCCCCGCTAGGGGCATTCCACGCTCCCACGTTGACGGCGCCCACATCTCTCGAGCGACCTCGTTCGCTCTCCTCATATAACTGACCCAAAGCGGGGATGTCGGTGATTCGTACCACATTCGAGCGTCGTTGGCAGATAAGCTCCTTCGCCCTTCCCGAAGATTGTGTCGGGCAATTTGAAAGATCGGGTGGAGCATCGGCGGCGCGGTGCGCTGCCTGTGCGGATTGGTGGGAGGTGGCGGATTCGATGGCGCCCCCGTCGTCAGCATTCATGAGCGGCGTGCGGCAGCCCCTCTGCCGTTTTTTGATGGGCGCCTATAATGTAAGCAATTCCCTCTCGGACGCACATTGCATGTAGACGCATCGTGTCCAAAGATATGACATTGTTGGCATCGCAAAGTGCGTTGGGTTTCTCGCCGATCGACGAGAGGCTGAGCTGCCCTCGCATAAGCGTCCGTCTGGTGAACAGCAGTGTGTAGACGGGCACGCCGTTTGGAAAGCCGGATACCGGGATCGGATGCAATCATGAGCTGCATCCGCAATGTATTCCGTAGGGATCTGCCAAAATCATGAAGCGATCGATGGGATCCTGCCCGCCTTCCAGTACGCCGATCCACTCGACCAAATTGTCAAAGGCAAGTTTAACCTGCTCGTTTTCCTGTTGCCAGCATTGGTATGCGCACCGGAAATCGAAAACGACTCCGGAGGCGCCCTCATTCCATACGCGCGAGGGCCACGTGGTGACGTCGAATGCGCAGAAACTGCGGTCCTCTTCCATGGGTAATTGGGCGTCCAGGGGAGAAGTGCGGGAAGGCAGCGGCGTGGAGGGGTGGAAATGTGGTCTCCCAACATTGCCGTGAGGGCGTCTGTAAGCCGCCGAACTGCGTCGGGCCGCGCTGCTAGGCACGCCTCCAGCCATCAAGATATCCGTCTGATGCGGTAGTGTAGTTACGCCATCGTTGGCAACGTGTTAAGTAGCGGTGGCCTTGCCCCGCCCCGCCGTCTCCGCATACCGCGCGGGTTGTTGTGCATTATGGCGTGCCTCCCGTTCCTGGAGTTGAGCGGTGGGGACTCCCAAGTTGAATTCGCGCACCCGTAATTGGGCGCGATCGGCCTCCAACTGCTGTTGTAGTTCTGGGACCTGGTTGCCGGCCCCGGCGATAGTGGATTCCCTTACCAATAGGTTGTGATGCGCCTCCTGAAACTGCGAGTTAAGCCGAGCATTCCGATTCTGCACGTCCGCGACGGCGTTTGCGTAATCAATATTCAGGCGCTCCCTTTCAGCAGTGATGAGCCCTTGTTGGTGCCCCAACTCCCGGGCTGCCCCCATAGCGGGCAGGAGCGCTTGTGTCTCAAAATTAGGGATCTGAGGCGCCCGTAGATCCGCAATATGT